CCTGGTAAGTTTCTGTTGAGAAATCAGTTGCTAGTCTGATGGGGGTTCCTTTGTATGTAACTTTCTGTCTCTCTCTGGCTGCTTTTAAGATTCTTACTTTGTCGTTGTTGTTTGCCAATTTGATTATAATGTGCCTTGGAGTCTGTCTTCTGGGATTCATTTTGCTTGGGACTCTGCGAGCATCTTGGATTTGTGTGGGTTTTTTCTTCTCTATTTCAGGAAAGTTTTCTGTCATTATTTCTTGAAATACTTTTTCCATGTCTACCTCAGTTTCCTTTCCTTCTGGAACCCCTATTATTCGAATATTATTTTGTTTTTTATTGTCCCAAAGCTCCCATAGGCTCTCCTCCTGCTTTTTAATCTTTTTTTCTAGAAGTTGCTCTACTTGGGTATTTTTTTCCATCTTATCTTCTAGCTCACTGATGCGGTCCTCTGCTTCCTCTAGTCTACTCTTGATGCTTTCTATTGAGTTCTTCATGGTAGCGATGTCATTTTTCATTTCTTCTTGGTTCTTCTTCAATTCCTCATGGTTCTTCTTCAATTCCTCATGGTTCTTCCTCATTTCTTCTTGGTTATTGTCAAATTTCTCTTCCATTCTTTTTAGCCAGCCTATGATCATTATTCTGAATTCTTGCTCTGGTAGGCTGCTTACCTCGGGCTCGTTTACTTCCTTTTCTGGTGATGCCTGCTTTTCTTTCATGTGCGGACTATGTTTTTGTCTCCCCATGGCCTCTCTTCTCAGGATGTCTGGTTATGTGGTGTTCCTTCTCCTGCGTTGATTTAAAATTTCAAAATACAAACACTATCTGGTACAACACAAGAGGTACTTAACAGGAATGTACTTACAATATTAATAACCTTTAGTAAAGGTGACCACTAGAGAAAGGCAACTTAGGGGATAGGAGAGAAGGAAGAAAGGTAAAAATAAAATAAAGACAAATTTAAAAAAGTAAAAATTAAAATTAAAAAAAAATTAAGTAAATAAAATAAAAAAAGAGGGATAAAGAGATAGAAAAAGAGGAAAAAAAGTAATGACAAAATAAAGTTGGAAAACAGGGAAAAAAAGAAAGGAGAGAGAGAGAGAAAGAGAGAGAAGAAGCAAACTAAAAGAGAAATGGGAAACAAAGTATATATATATATGGAGATAACTGCCATAGAACAACCACTGAACCCAGCCAATGCCAGTAACAATACTTGGAGATTAATACAAACTACAATATCCCCTATTATTAAGTAAGGCTATGATATACAGAAATAAAAGATACAAACAAAAACAGAGTATTTTTTTTAAAAAAATACAAAGCAACACTAACAACACAGTAATAAGCATAACAATTTCACTAACAAGCCTAAAAATTCACAATAATCGACCTTCACACAAACAATGCGAAAAGGATAGAGGGGAGAACAGTTTTTCTTTCTTCTTCTTTTTTTTTTTTTTTAACTAGTTAATATAGTGCAGAGATTGGTATTTATACACTTGGATCAGGGGTTGGAACATAGGTCTATAAGTATAGTGAGAGTTTTAGCAGGGGGTAAACAGAAAGAATAGAGGAAAAACTAAAGCCGGAAAGGGATAGGATAAACCGTAGACTAAAAGGGTAAAGTTTAGCAAGAGAGTGATGGTGTAAAGGTCGAGTTGAGATAGGGTTGAATGATGCTATAGTAGAGATTAAAATAGAATGAAGGTTACTCCCAAGGTAAAATAAAGAAAAAAATAAAATGGTACTAAAGAGGGAAAAAAAAAATTTTGCAAAATAGCAGTAGTAATAGTGATGATAGAGATTGAAAAATGTAATAATTAAAAAGGTAAAATCAAGTAAGGAAAAAAAATCGTTTCTTAAGTAAAAGATATAAAAAATGAAGATTAAATAAAAGAGGTAAAAAATGAAAATAAAATAATAGTAAAATTAGCATAAAAATGTCCAGTAGTGGTCATTCACTTCCTCTGTTAATGTATTTGGCACTCCTGATTCTCGGCCCAGAAAGTCTTGTAGTTTCCAGCATTCCACTGCACCTCAGATTTGTAAGGTAATCTTTAATTTTAAGTAGACTATATCTTAGTTATTTGTGTCCATTTATTTTTGATTAATTAAAAGATAAAAGAAAAGAAAAGGAAAAAAAAAGAGAAGGAAAAAAAAAAAAAAGGGGCAGTTTGTAATTCAGCTCTTAGGTGTCAGTGTTACTGGTTTGACCTCCCAGTCTTTTTGGTTGCTCTGGCCTTCTTTCTCTATGGCTCTAGCTGGCAGGGTGCCAGCTGGCTCCCAGACTATCTCTTCTGGTTCAGATCCCTTGTTTCCAGGAAGGCAATTTCCCCCTGCAATTTCCCCGGATATGCCCAACTGGGCAGTCCTTCCCTAGTTTTCAGAAGCAAGGGGGTGAAGGGGATCAGGCACCAAGGTGTCCAGATGTTCCGCCCTTGGCGAAACAGCCGAGATTCTTAACGCTCTGTCCAGTGACCTGTGGCGTTTTAAAAAAGTCCCGCTTCTGGGGAGGATAACGTCAAACCCAGCACTACGTGTCGCTGCAGCCTTCTTTGGGTGCCGCTCCGCGGGCAGTACTGCGCGCTCCCCCTACAGTGGGGGAGGAGTTGGAGCTCTCCGGCTACCGTAGCTGCCTGCGCCGCGGGACCCCGGTCCCCCAGGCTGTCCCCGCAAACTCTGACCTTTCCGTGGGTGACCGAAGAACTCCCCGGATTCCACGCGCCCGTGCCGATTCGGGCTTCTCAGCTCCTTGATGGACCTCCCCGCTGTGTGTTTTTCCAGGCCTCAGGGATGCTCCTCCTTTCCTGGTAAGATGGCGCTGCCTTCTCTCCGCGAGAGCTCGCTGGGAGAGCCGCCGCAGCTGCGGCAGTGCTGGCCTCTTGGTTAGGAAATCCTGTCCAGCGGACCTTTCCTTACCTTCCTAGAGAATTCCGAAGCCCCTTAGCTGCCAATCAACATTCCCTGAGCGACTCAGACGCTGTTTCTATCTGTTCTGGGACCAGAGTCAGAAGTCCGACTGTTCGGTCGCCATCTTCAAGCTCCCTCTCCCCAGAAGGACTTTTCCTCTCACACCCTGCCTCCTCCTCACCCCCGTGCTCTGGGCCTTGGGTGAAGAGCTCTGTACTTGCTCTCTGCAGCCCGGTGCCTGTTCCCAGCCGCATGACCTTGGACCACACTGTGGCCTCAGTCTTTGTCTATGCAGCGGGGAAGACAGGAGGTCTGCTCATTGCTGTGTGGGGACTGAAGGACCTGACACATGGAAGCGGTCTGGAACAGTGAGGGCACACAGTGAGAACGCACACATTTTATCGTTTGGGAGAGATATATACTCCAAAAGGGTAAGAAAATGGTGTTTGAAATCAATTAATTTTTCATTTGTACTGTGTCCTCTGGTTCCCAGTTCAATTACTTAGGCATTCAGGTTCAGTCTCTATGGGTGACATGGCAGTAAAGTGTGTCGCCTGTCAGTCACATAGATTTATGTGAGACACAGGCACTGTGAAGAACTCAGTGCAGAGCTGGCACATAGCAAGTGCCCAGGATATGGGAGGTGGATGTGTAACAGCATGGCTGCATAATGCCAGCTCCAAATGGAAGGAAGGAAGGAAGGAAGGAAGGAAGGAAGGAAGGAAGGAAGGAAGAAGGAAGGAACGAAGGAACGAAGGAAGGAATAAAGAAAGAAAGAATGAATCTTGGAAAAGCTTCCAGTGATATCAGTGGTCAGATTTAAAGAGTAGATTCTTGGTCAGTGTCTCTATAAGATAACTAGGAGGCAAAATGTCTAATGTCAAATAACGTTCACACAGCGTTATCGGAATCAATGAAGTCAAATCAAATTAAACAGTACTCTTAAAATATATACTATTTGCAAAGAATTAATAAGGTGTTTTAGGAACTTTGGCTGAGAGAGAAAAAAAGCTGTTAAATATTTCACTCTGTGTTATTAGTCACATTGACAATGAAATAAATGTTTTCTCTTAAGGATTTTTGCATTCATTGCTATGAGGCACATATTGACTGTGATGTTTGTTAAATTTTAAGTGTGATCATTTTGGATAATTATTGAAATAAGCTGGCAAGATGAATTGGTTGGCATTTAAAAAATTGACCAACGTTTTGTAGTGGTTGTCATTGGGAGACTGAATGAGGCAGGCATTCCAAAAGCAAATGTCTTGCCTGGCCTGAGTGAAGTGGCCTTGCTGTTGACACGCTGAGTATTTGCAATGGGTGGGACTCTGGCTGCTACAGGCACCGCCTGGAGAGGGTTTAAGGCCCACAGCCCTGCCCCTGGAGCCTGCAGATCTCTTTGCAGGAAAAGGGCCAGAGTCTGCACTCACAGAATGCTCCTGAAGACGCTCCGGATGCGCGGGATTTGGGAAATGTTGATCTTTTGTCTGAAACATCTTTATCCCAATTCTAAAAAAAATAGGCAGAACATTGTCATAAATCATCGCAAATGTTCAGATAAATATACTTTCCAGGAATGTATATGTAAAATATATGTCGATCATTTTAGAGAAATTTTAATTGTCTGCTATGTTTTATTTTTAAAAAAAATGTTTTTATTGGTTCAGAGAAAGGGAGGGAGGCGAGAAAAAGAGAAACATCGATTGCTGCCTCCTGTGGGGGTGAAGCCCCTGCGGGCAGCGGAGCCAGCGGCCTCCTGGAACCTGGGCTGTGCTCACCCTCTGAGCGCCACCAGCTGGGCAGCTGCTGTGCTCATATTAATGACAGAAATGGACATTTTCAGGCGGACCAACTCAAAATAACCATTTTTACAAAGACTTCCATAAATGTGACATTCTTAAACTACTTCTCACTGAAAAAACACTATAGACAATTTCTATAGTCATAGTATTAAAGCATAAGATGTGTGTTTCATATAATTGTTATTTGCTTCTTAGACTAAATAGTATAGGATTAAGATGTATGTATTGAATCAAAAATCTTGCCCTTGACACCTATTATCCAATGATACTTAAAGCTTCATTTCTTTGTCTCGCTCTTTTTCTGAAGCCGGAGTTCTCAGAGTGTCCTATCAGCTCACCAGGATGTGATCAAGAATTACCCAAGAATATTCCTGCAGAGAAAATTCAGGCTGCCTAGACTTTCCCAACAGGGGGAGAGAAAGTACGGACACCTTCTGTGAGTGCAGAGGGATAAATGGGCTCTGACCTGAGAGATAGTGATGGGGGAGCCAGAAGGGGAGAGTGGGGATGGGGGAGCCGGGAGGGGATATGGTGATAGGGGCAGCTGGGAGGGGAGAGTGGGGATGGGGGAGCCGAGAGATGAGATAGTGATGGGGGAGCCAGGAGGGGAGGTGGTGATGGGGGCAGCTGGGAGGGGAGAGTGGGGATGGGGGAGCCGGGAGGGGAGATGGTGATAGGGGCAGCTGGGAGGGGAGAGTGGGGATGGGGGAACCGAGAGATGAGATAGTGATGGGGGAGCCAGGAGGGGAGAGTAGGGATGGGGGAGCCGGGAGGGGAGATGGTGATAGGGGCAGCTAGGAGGGGAGAGTGGGGATGGGGGAGCCGAGAGATGAGATAGTGATGGGGGAGCCAGGAGGGGAGGTGGTGATGGGGGAGCCGGGAGGGGAGAGTGGGGATGGGGGCAGCTGGGAGGGGAGATGGTGATGGGGGAGCTAGGAGGGGAGATGGGGATGGGGGCAGCTGGGAGGGGAGATGGTGATGGGGGAGCTGGGAGGGGAGATGGGGATGGGGGAGCCGGGAGGGGAGTTGGTGATGGGGGAGCCGGGAGGGGAGAGTGGGGATGGGGGCAGCTGGGAGGGGAGATGGTGATGGGGGAGCTAGGAGGGGAGATGGGGATGGGGGCAGCTGGGAGGGGAGATGGTGATGGGGGCAGCTGGGAGGGGAGAGTGAGGATGGGGCAGCTGGGAGGGGAGATGAGGATGGGGGAGCTGGGAGGGGAGATGGGGATGGGGGAGTGGGGAGGGGAGATGGGGATGGGGGAGCAGGGAGGGGAGAGTGAGGATGGGGGAGCTGGGAGGGGAGATGGGGATGGGGGAGCTGGGAGGGGAGATGGGGATGGGGGCAGCGGGGAGGGGAGATGGGGATGGGGGAGAGGGAGGGGAGAGTGGGGATGGGGGAGAGGGAGGGGAGAGTGGGGATGGGGGAGAGGGAGGGGAGAGTGGGGATGGGGGAGAGGGAGGGGAGATGGGGATGGGGGAGCCGGGAGGGGAGATGGGGATGGGGGAGCGGGGAGGGGAGATGGGGATGGGGGAGCGGGGAGGGGAGATGGGGATGGGGGAGCCGGGAGGGGAGAGTGGGGATGGGGGAGCCGGGAGGGGAGATGGAGATTGGGGAGCCGGGAGGGTAGGCAGACCCATCAGGCTATTTCATAAAGAGTTTAAGTGACGCTGTGATGATTGGGACTGATAAGTGTGTTGCTTGTTCACTGTTATAATTAACATGAATAAAGGACTAGTCTTGTCTGTTAAACATAAGCAGAAATACTGTTAGGAATGAGGAAGATAATACACATGATACAGGGAAATGAAGGGAATTGTAAATTATGATACAATACTTTATGTAACGAAGTGAGTTTGAAAATCTTGATGCTATTGGCTAGTTTTCTAAAAACTACGTACTAAATTTATTTAAGAAGATAAAATTTAAAAAAGATGGTACAAATAGTTGTGAAAATGCTGGTATAAGTAGTTGTGAAAAGTACTTTTCAAAAGTATTGTTTGAAGCAAAAAAACCACAAAAGTAAAAATTAACAACCTAACCCCAACAAAAACAAGCCCACATGATATCACTAGAACTTCCTTTTAAGAAAAAGTAATTCTTAATTTTCCTGCAGTATATACCATGAAAATTAGCTTGTAAATTTGCCATGCACAGGATTTCACAAGAATGACATAGATAAGACATAACCATTTTAATTATGACAATATAGGCAAACATACAAAATAAAATATTAGCAAGTGAGATAACGCCGCAGAGTTAGCAGATTGGCTCAGCACAGTCAGGCTGCCGCCATCTTCTGACTGTAAAGAAAGCTCAGCACCAAAGCAGCCGTTAGTAAATGTACAATATTAGTTGCCCACAGCCAACCGACACGATGCTGTCCGGAGATGATGAAAAGGCATTGATCTGCCTCAGGAAAAGTAAAAGTAAATTTACGCTTCCACCTCTTGTGTGTGCAGTTAGTGACTGTTAAGCAATACAAAAACTGCGTATGCCCAGCCAGAAAGAACTATACCTGAAATAGCAATAAAAATACCTTAAACTGGCTTAAATGAATTCCTCAAAATATATTTAAAAATTATGAGTCTTCTCCAGCTCCGCTCATCCTGGTGCCTCGTGCGATGGGCCGCACCCACACCGCTCAGGAGGGGAGCAGGCCACTCGGAGAGCTGTGGCAGCAGGGAGTGGACGAGGAAAACAAGCCGGGTGGACACTAAGTGCTGCACCAGCAGAACTCTCACCAGCAGCCTCTCCATCATCGTGGTCACAGTCAACACTCAGTTCACTAGCCCCGTGTGTGACAGGTGCAGTAGGAGGGGGCACGCTGGGGAACGGCCCTGTGTCTGTGCAGCTGGGAGAATGCCCATGGCAGCGCCATGGCTGAGGTGGAGGGAGAACCATGTGCAGGAGAGTGCCTGTGCCCCCGGACACCAGCTGAGCAGAGGGGGCTGGCTGCGAGGAGGGAACACTCTGAGAGCAGAGCGTGGGGACTGGACAGGAGTGACCTCAGGGCTGCTTGAGCTGGGACTGTGGTCTAGAATGTTTGACTCATGAACTGCGCAGCACACGTGGTCTCGTCACAGCCGTAGTGAATCGAATGCCCGGACACATTGTCTTAGAACGAACACTGAGTTTGGGCTTGGACTTGAGTTTGTGTGTTGCCCGAAGCAGCAGCCTGGCTTTGGCACGGCCCTGACCACTGGCCCCATCAACCTGTACTCTGAAGAGGATGCATTAATATCGCAGCTCACAGGGGGCACGGGAAGAGACTCTCGCTGTCCCAGCTCTTACCATCAGCATGCGTTTTCGATGACAGCGACTTACTGAGATTTATACCACCTGACACAAAATTCTACCTTTTATTCAACCAAGTTAAACAACAACGACAAAGAAATACATATAATCTTCAAAACAATTTTAAAAATCACTGCGTTGTTTGCTTCAATAAAATTAAAAAAATGTTTTATTGATTTTTTACAAAGAGGAAGAGAGAGGGACAGAGAGTTAGAAACATCGAGGAGAGAGAATCATTGATCAGCTGCCTCTTGCACACCCCCTACTGGGGATGTGCCCGCAACCAAGGTAGATGTCCTTGACCAGAATCGAACCTGGGACCTTTCAGTCCACAGGCCGAAGCTCTATCCACTGAGCCAAACTGGTTTCGGCTGCTTCAATAAATTTAATATCATCCTTTATAAATAACAAGAAAAGGCATAGGCTTTGAATCAATGCACCTTTTATTTCCAGAGGAAAACAGACATTTAAGAAAATAATAGTCATTGAGGAAAAGATAATAAGCATTCAGAGAACAGTGGAAACCCACGTTAGATATTTCTTCAAAATGTCCATGGCCTCTTGATACTTCTTGCTTGCTTTGCCTGCTTGCAAAGTAGTTCATTAACCTCTTATACCATGATTTTGAATTTTGTCTGACTGAAATTTTTAGACTATGCATATTACAGTGTTGCTAGTTTTGTTATATAAATAGTAGAGGCTTGGTGCATGAAATTCATGCATGGGGTGTGTCCCTCAGCCCAGCCTGCACCCTCTCCATTCCAGGACTCTTCAGGGGAAGTCCTACTGCTGGACATCTCTCTCATAATCTGGGACCCCTGGCTCCTAACAACTCACCTATCTGTCTGCCTGTTTGCCCCTTGTGTGTGCAGTGATTGTTAAGCACAACAGTAGGAAAAAAACTGTTCAATGTGTCTCCCCTGCCAGCCTGTCTCGTCTAACTGCCCTCGCTGGCTGGCCTGGTTGCCCCTAAGCACCTCTGCCTCGTCCCCTACCACCATGGCCTTTTCTGGAAGGATACCCAGAAGATGTCCAGTCTAATCAGCACATTACCCTTTTATTAGTATAGATAAGTATTTGTCATATTATTCTCTACTTTTTATATGTATTTAAAATACTCCAGAATATTTTAAGCAAATAAAAAATGGTTGCAGAAAATAAAAGTTTTGAAATACAACCTGGTAGGCTTGAAAGCAACATTTGCATAAAAGGGCATAAGTTGCAGTTGCCAACAAAAGTTGTTGTTAGGGCCCTGACCTGCTTGGCTCAGTGGATAGAGTGTCGGCCTGTGGACTGAAGGGTCCCAGTTCGATTCCAGTCAAGGGCATGGACCTTGGTTTCAGGCACATCCCCAGTAGGGAGTGTGCAAGAGGCAGCTGATGAATGTTTCTCTCCCATCGATGTTTCTAGCTCTCTATCCCTCTCCCTTCCTCTCTGTGAAAATTCAATAAAATATGTTTTTTAAAAAGTTGCTAGCATTGCTTGGGTCACATTCTTTTGTTGGAAAGGCATGATTGGGGCAAAGGAGAAAAGGAAACCAGCCTGCTAAAAGGGAATGTCTGAGCGGGCCGTTGCCACAGCAGAGGGCTGGCCACAGGCAGGGATGTCTGTGTGTTTGGGACCCCGAAGGACCTGCCACGCCTGAAGCACAGCATACATGCACATACACAAACATGCCTCTTCTGAGCTTCCCCTGCCTCCACGCACTGCTTGGCCACGGCCTTCTTTCCTGTCAGTGAGCTGGATGGACAGACAGACGGGCTGCAGTGTCATCCTGACTGTCTGACATACTGTGGTTTACTTCCCTGCCCTTTATTGTGGGCAGGCTGCTTCAGGCTTCCCGGCATCACAGCTAACGGCTATGGACTGTTTCCTTCGGACACATTCACAGAGGAACTCCTGGCCCACAGCTCATTCACGCGAATGTGCTTCTGTGTGTTTAGTCCATTGGTTTTAAGTCAGATCACATTCCCACAAACAGGTAAGAGAAAACTGTTCAATGTGCCTCGGGCACATCGCAAACTCTGGCTGAACGTGAGTGACCCCTTCCTGGCACAGCTGTCTGCGCTTCTCAGGGCACTTTTGATGGAAGGAAAGGGATCCAGTGCCCTAAGGCTCTCCCACGGGGGCAGAGCTGGAAAGGCAAAATTTCCTGAGGAGGAGGAAGCACAGAGGAGACCCTCCCACTGGGGAGGGGGGCACGCCCGGATGCCCCTGTGCTTTGGGCTGGGGTGGGGCACACTGGTGCGGCCAGCCCTGGGCGGGCTGTGGGGCGGGGCGGGCAGCTCAGCTGTGTCCCCTCTGGCTGTGTCCCTGCCGCCCTGAGCAGTGAGAGCCCTGGCACCCTTCCCTGACCCCTTCCCGGGTGGGCGGGACAGGGGGAGGTAGGGAGACCGAGCATGATCCCAGTCCTGACTCCCACTCCTGCACGCTGGGTTACTAAGAAACCTGAGGCAGGGACCGAGAAGATGGGGCTGGAGGGTGAAGTCCAGGAGGCCGGGCGGTGCAGCTGAGGGCCCTGTGTGGGTGCGGGTGTGTGAGTGTGTGCCGCTCAGGTCCTGCTCACGCCACACCCCCACGCCCGCACTCCTGCCCAGCGGGCTGGAGCATCTTCCCAGACACCAGAAAGGTTTCGGCTGATCCCGGCCAGGGCACACAGGCTTCGGGTTGGATCCCTGGTCAGGATGTCTGGGAAGCAAACATCATTGATGTTTCTATTGTACATCATTGTTTCTCTCTCTCTTTTCCTTTTTCTCTAAAATAATATATATATCCATCTTCAGGTGAAGATTTAAAAATATAGTTAATAAAAAATAAAAATATGAAGGCATTGGAAAGAAATATATCAATGCAGACTGGTGTAGCCATTAGGGAAAACAGTATGGAATTTCCTAAAAAAAAAAAAAAAAAAAAAAAAAAAAAAAAAAAATGGAACTGCCATTTGATTCAGTGATTCCACTTCTAGGAATCTATCCTAAGAACACCAATCAGAGAGAATTTATGCACCCCTCTGTTCATAGCAGCACAATTCACCATAGCTAAGATCTGGAAACAGCCTAAGTGCCCATCAGGAGATGAGTGGATTAAAAAACTGTATCTACACAATGGAATACTACACAGCTATACAAAAGAAAGAATTCTTATCATTTACAACAGCATGGAGGGACCTGGAGAACATTATGCTGGGTGAAATAAGTCAGTCAGAGAGAGACAAGTATCTCATGATCTCACTCATATGAGGAATCTAATGAACAAAATAAACTGGAGAACAAAATAGATCCAGGGACCTAGAAGCATGGAACAGACTGAAGAATTTCAGAGCAAAAGCAGGGGAGGGTGAGTGGGAAGAGATCAACCAGTGAACTTGTAAGCATGTATGCATAACCCCTGGACACAGATAATAGGGTGGTGAAGGCCTGGGATGGGGAATGGGGGTGGGCTAGAAGGGATAATGAAGAAAACAATAAAGATAAAATAAATAAAATGTCAAATTATGTCAGAAGAGTCCATTTCTACTCTTGACAATGAAGCAAAAGTTCATGTCAGCATTTTGTGTGCAGAACTGTAAAAATGTGTCTACTTACCTAGAAATCTGGCTGAGGACACAGAAAAGAGTCAGCGCCCAAAGCCTGAGAGCGACACCCACAACATCTCCATCTACCTCAATCAGGTGCGCGGCAGCCACCCGTGTGAATCCAAAAACTTTGAAGAGAAGGTGGAAGAGTTCCTGGCCATCCTAAAGAAATTGTAAGTGTTTTAAGTTATTTTTAAACTTATTTTTAGAGAGAGAGAAATGTCAATAATAGAGCAAAACATTGATCTGCTGCGTCCTGCATACACCCCACTTGGGACTGAGCCCACAACCCGGGCATGTGCTCTGACCGGGACTCAAACTGGCAACCTTTTGGTGCACAGGATGACACCCAACCAACTGAACTGCACCAGCCAGGACTCCCAGTATTTTTAATATATTACTTCGTATTGTTAAACTAGAGGCCTGGTTCACAGGATTCGTGCACTGGTGGGGGCGTGGCCTGCAGGGATCGGCTGTGGACCCGCCCTCTGAGTGACTGCTCCCACTCAGGGAGCGCACTGACCATCAGGGGGCCGCTCCTGTATTGAGCGTCTGAGGTCAGTGTGCATCATAGCGACTGGTCGACTAGTCACCCTGGTGGTTCTGGTGGTTCTGCCATTCGGTTGCTGGGCTTTTATATAGGATATATAATGATTTTTTAAAAATCTTTTTAAAGCTAGCTGTTAGGGTCAGTGTACTGTAACTGCAGCCCAGCCACTGAATGACAACAGGGAGCACCAGACAAGGGAACTCACTTTATGGGGTGTTTAATGTTCACACAAAGCCATAGTTTCTCTCTATGGCATTTCTGGTTTAAGCCTCCCATCACTGCTTTGAGGCGGATACGACAAAAACGCTGGTGAGTAAAAGAGCAATGTATAGGTTAAGTCTACAATTCCTGTCTGTTCTTCTACAGAATGTGCTTTTTATCTTGTCACCTTCGTACGCTAGTTACTCATTGTCTGTCGCTATGTAATGAAGTATCATCAACTCGGTGGCATTAAACAAACTCTGGGCAAGGTTGGCCGGGTCCTCTGCTCACGTCCCAGACTTCAATCAAAGAGCTTGCCAGGTGGTGTTCCTTTCCGGAACACGAGGTTGCCTTCCAGCTCACCTGTGTTGTTGGCAGAATTCAGTGTCATGTGGTTGATGGACTGAGATCTCTGCTGTCTCCCTGGCTCTCAGCAGAGGGCTGCTGGAGGTCCCAGACCCTGCTGTGCGGTCCTCGCTCACAGCTTCCACAGCAGGAAGCTTCCACCTTCAGAGCCAGCCAGGAAGAGTCTCTCGTTCTGCTAAACTGAAGTCTTATGTAACCGAGTCAGGGGCCTGTAGGGACCTGACCTCGCCCAGATTTTATTGGTTAGAAACAAATCATTGCTTTTCTCCTGCCCCAAAACTGAGGCAGAGGAGATCTGGAGTCTCAGCGTGTGCGGGCCATGTTTGGTAACATTAGACATCTCTCTGTGACCCTGCTGACCCGCCTAGTGGCCGAGGCCTTTGTGAACGCACGTCGATCAGCTGAGACCTGGGCATTGCTGGAAAGTTCTCAGGTCTGTAGCCCTGTGCTTGCCTGGGACTTGCTGAACCACGACTGGCTTGGTGGGCAACTTCATGACCTGACAACACTTAGTAAAAGCAACTAAAAATCTCCACTTTGCCATTCTGCCTGTGATTTTAACAAAAAGAAATCAATTTTGGGTAACAGTAGTTTCTTTTTGAAGACATGTAAATCTTCCTGACAAGATGAAGAAATTATTGCTCATTGATTACTCAGTGTGATTTGCCTTCGTTATTTTTATTAATTCTTACCTTCTCCCTTGTTAAGAAGCTCTAAGTCAACAGTGCTGGCGGGGAAGAAGGGTAACTGAGTGTGGAGCATTAAAGTCATGGGAAAGGGCATCCGGGAGGTGTCACCCGAGGGGGAGGGCTGCAGGGGCCAACGGGCAAAGCATAACGGGGTCGTGTGTGCAGAGCAGACAGTGTGTGTGTGTGTGTGTGTGTGTGTGTGTGTGTGTGTGTGAGAGAGAGAGAGAGAGAGAGAGAGAGAGAGAGAGAGAGAGAGAGAGAGAGAGTGAGTTAGTTGGGAGACTCCTATAAAGTCATGTATTTGAAGGCATATGAAATTGGATGTTAGCTTATCAGATATTTAGTTAGGATTTTAGACTGTGAGCAATGGAAAGGACTCTGAATAATGTGAATGGTAGGAAGTGCCTTGGCCAGTGTGGCTCAGTGGCTGGAGCATAAGATTCCTGTGCACCGAAGGGTGAGAGTTTGCTTCCTGGCCAGGGCACATGGTGGGTTTCAGTCCTCGGTTGGGGCAGGTGTGGAAGACACCAGGTCAGTGTTTTTCTCTCTCACATAGATGTTTCTCTCTGTGTGTCTCTCTCTAAAATCAATTAAAAAACAAAAACAAAACCACAAACAAACATCCTTGGATGAGGAGGGGAACCGATGGAAGAGTGTGGGAAGCCCCAGATGGAAGAATTATGGATCTGGAGACAGGACAAACCAGAGCATCTCTGGAGGCCTCTCCAGGACCCAGCCTGGGATGTGCTCCTTGTAGCTGCTTTGGTTCAGGGACAGGGGTCAGATGGTTGTGTGTTTGTGCTCAGTCCCAGGTGAACGCTGAGGGGCAGTACCCCTGGAGCCACGGCTTTGCTGAGTGTACCCATTGGTGAAAGAATGACATATCAAAAGAGAAAGTATTTCAGAAGGAGGGGGAAGTGTCTCATGGATAAACAGAAATCTGTGAGCTAAAACATGGCTTGGTGCTTTAATTTCTAAATAATCTCGACTGATTTATTTTCCACACCTAAACTCCTGAAGTCAGCACGAACTTTGAAAGCTTATGGGTTTCTGGCAGCATCCTTGGTATGGGGGTTGCTCGCCATCTTCTCCCTCCTGGGGAGCTGGCAGGCCCATGTAAGAGAGAGCATGAACACACGCAGGCTTGTGAGCCATCAGTGCAGGAAGACGCACTGCTGCCCAGTTGGGAGCGAGCACGAGGCAGGATCAGAGTCCTCTCTGTGCGGGGCCCGACCGGGTCAGGAGGAGCTGGGAGCCAGCCCCGCAGGTCCTGGAAGGGAGGTTGCAGGGAGGACACAGCGGGGCCCAGGACTGCACATCCTGTGAGCAGGGGGTCGGTGTCCTGAAGCTTGGGGTGGGGGGAGGCAGGAGTGACGGGCAGATGTCATGTGAAATCTTCCATGTTGGTGTGATGGCCCGCGGGAGGGTCGTGGGGAGAGGACGGTGGTGCGGGGATTTGGGGTGACCTGTCAGCAGATGTAAGGAGATGGTCGGGGTGCGACAGCTGTGTCCTGACTACTGTTTGGGAGAGTTCGATCTGACGCGTAGAATTTGAATTTCTTTTTAAAAGATGAGAAGGTTTCAATCGACTGTCATGGAAACATTAGAGCCTTTGCTGAACTTGACCATTTACTTGCCTGACATCCCACTGCATCTAGCACGCAGTCAAGGACTGCTTGGGTAAAAGAACTGGTTTCTTTTTATAAAGGACCAATTGCTTTATTTTATAAATGACTAATTTCTGAGAAGAGAAACACGCCTGTGCATTCGGGGGGTGGCCCAAAGGGTGGGAGGAGAGGGAAGCGTGTGGCTGAGCTGTGAAGAGCCGCTTCCGGGCCTCTGAGAGCCCTGGCCCCGCTGTCCTTTCGCCCATGGCCTCCGTGAAGGTGTTCCCTCCGAGGGAACGAGGGTCCGGAGGACACCCGAGGAGGGGCAGCCAGCAGTGCTGGGACTGGCCCCCACTCAGGCTCTGGCTGGGAGACTCGACAGCTTAGAGGCCAGATGCCCACGCCTCAGGTCATGCCTCCCAGTGCTGTGCTCCGGGCAGGGGGCACTGTGGGCAGGGGGTGCTCAGGGCGGGGTGTGCTCAGGGCGTGGGGTGGGGGTGGTGTTATGAGCAGGGGGTACTCCAGGCGGGGTGCTGTGGGCGGTGGGTGCTCCTGGAGATGGGTGCTGTGCTCTATAGGCTGTCCCCAGTGGTTGAGAGGAAAGTGGTGGAAGGAGAGGGCCTCCTGGGAAAGGCTTTGCTGAAGCCGAAGGGGACATGGGCCAGAGAGTCACTGTGTGGTCAGGGAAAGTAATGTAGATTCTGCGGGAGCAGCAATCACTGATGACAGAGAAAGGGAGCTCCCTGGCCGGGTGGCGCAGGTGGTTGGAGCATCGCCCCACACACCTGTGGGTTCGATCCCCGCCTGTACGTGGTGCAACCGACTGGATGGATGTTTCTCTCCCTCCCTTTTCCTCTCCCTTTAAAATCATAAAACCTGTCCTCAGGTGAGGATTGAGAAGGGAAGGGCATAAGGGAGGACACTACGGGTAAGGAGACAGTGAGTGGGGACAGATGGGCGGCGCTGCCTCGGCTCCACGTCACTGGGAGTGCAGGTCCCCGCCGTGCAGATGGCCCAGCGCCCGGGGCTGCAGGTCAGGAAGGACTGGGTGCTGGCTGACTCCTCCCATTACTCACGACGTGATCCGAGTGCCTTTCTGCCTCTGGCACTCAATCCTCTCATCAGCGCGAGGTACGTTTATCGCTTCCTGGGGTCACGGTGGCCGAGGGAGCCTTAGTAAGCCCAGGTGTGTGCTGGTCCACTCCGGCCCTCCAGCCGTCCTCTCCCCTTCCTGGAGGTCGGCACCACACCAAGAGGGGGAACTCAGTTGTCTAGGGGCTGAGCATCCCAAACCTTTGTGGGCTGGCAGTGGCCACACCCATTCTGGCCAATGACCTTTCCCGCAGGTGAGACTGGCAGGCAAGTATCTTTGTTAGTCCCCTAGCTTTTCTGGGCACGGTCTGGCTTCCCTCTGTCTGGTCCCCTTCTCCCAATGTTTCACAGGAACAAGCCTGTAATGCCTGGCCTTCCTTTTACTCCTTTCCTATTATTATGATCATAACTAGAGGCCTGGTGCATGAAATTCCGGCCCTCCAGCCTGAACCCTCTCACAATCTGGGACTGCTGGCTTTTAGCTGGTCACTTGCCTGCCTGTCTGATTGCCCCTAACTGCTCACCTGCCTGCCTGCCTGATCACCCATAACCACCTCTGTCTGCCAGCCTGATCACCCCCTAACTGCTCCCCTGCCAGCCTGGTTGCCCCTAACTGCTCACTCCTGCTGGCCTTGTCTTCCCTAACCACCTCTGCCTTGATCCCACCA